AACCCAAAACCCTCAACCCTCAAACTTTTTCTGTAAGCCGCTCCGTGAATTTGATGCTGGGAGTTACTAGACTTGATGCGTGTCCCATGATGCTTGGGGTCTCGGGTTGTAGCCGGGCTTGGAGACCACCTCTCAAACCCTATGCAGGTGTTGGGTTTAGGGTTTAGGNNTTTAGGGGTTTAGGGATTTGGGGGTGTAGGGATTTAGGGGTTTAGGGGTTTAGGGGTTTAGGGTTTAGGGGTTTAGGGTATTTACAAGACGACTCACGACGTGCCTTGGATTGAAGAGCAACGGGGACACCACCCAGGCTGCGGAAGAGAAAGACGTGCATAGGTAGAAGCCAGCACCTTTTGGAAACTCAGAGCTCTTAGCGCTAGGGTTCGGGGTACAAAGGTCTAGGGTTTAATTAGGGTTTAGGGTTTAGGGTTTAGCATCCAGGCTTTAGTACCAGGGCGCAGTGCTCCTTTGGTGAAGCGGTCACACTCGCAGGGTCGGGGGAGTAAGCAAGTAGATAACAAGCAGAGTTGTAAGTACCCTAAAAGGGATCCTTATCGGAGCCATCCGACCCTCCAAGCAAGCCCTAAACCTAGAACCCCACAAACTGGGCTTTGGCGATTTGCTTCGTAGTCTGCAGGCAAAACTTACCTGTTCCCCAGAGGCAGCCTTAAGATAGGCTCCCTTTGTGGGTAGCATCTTCGTTTAGCCTGGACACCAAAACCCGCTGAAGCTCCAAACCCTGAAACCCTCAAGCCCTCAACCCCTAAACCCTAAACCCCTAAAGCCTAAGCCCCTAAACCCAAACCCCTAAACCCCTAAACCTTAAACCCTAAACCCTAAACCCCTAAACCCTCAACCCCTAAACCGCGAGATCCTGCGAACCCGACCTGGCTCCTTAACTCTGGCGAAGCCCGTATGCCACGCTGACAAAACCCTTGTTTAGGGCTTCAGGGTTTTAGGGTTTAGGGTTTAGGGGTTTAGGGTTTAGGGGTTTAGGGTTTAGGGGTTTAGGATTTAGGGGTTTAGGCGTTTAGGGTTTATTTAGGGTTTAGGGTTTAGCCAATTCAAATCCAACTTTCCCCCAATATAGCAGCCTGAATCCTTAAACACCAGAGAGGCCTAAAGAAAAGCATTATAGTTTTGGTTGCAGCCGCCGCACTACTTAAAGGCTAAACATGAAAACGGTTGAGTCTGTCAACAACCTGTGGCCCCAAAAAAACGACCTTTTTAAGGAAGTATATATAGAAACCCCAATAAGGAACCCTAAAACGGTAGGTCTTTCCGGCTACTAAACCCTAAACCCTAAACCTTAAACCCTAAACCCTAAACCGAAGATAACGACTTCCGGGCTTCGGGCTTCCAAGATTTAGGGTTTAGGGTTTAGGGTTTAGGGTTTAGGGTTTAGGGTTTAGGGTTGAGGCTTAGGGCTTAGGGTTTAGGGTCCAAAATTTAGGGTTTAGGGTCCAAGATTTAGGGATGAAGCCTGATTAAGCGATCAGGATTAGAAATTGGGGCGGCTTAGAGTTAAAGGTTTTGTTGAGAGCTACATGGGGCTTCCTTGTTTGGGTCGAGCATCTGCTGAAGGCACAGAGACACCTGCGCAAGCAGAAGCCAAACCTGAAAGCCCAAACGCTCAAACCCTAAACCCATACATCTACACCCGAAGCTCCTGGCCCAAAAAGTAGCCAGGGCTCCATAATCCACACCGGCGCTGAAGACCAGCAGCACAATCACCTCCGACAAAATGCCCTAAACTCTCATGACTTTAGGAGGGACCCCTAACAGGGACCCTTAATCCCATTACCTTAAATAACCATTTTATAGTCCTTATATACCCCTTATATAGCCAGGTAGTCTCCAAAATAACACCAAAAACCTACAAGAGTCCCTATTAAGGGTCCCTCCTAATGGACCCAGATAAACCCTAAACCCCTAAACCCTAAACCCTAAGCAATCTTACTGGGTGTTCCACTCGCAGCGTTGCATGGAGCTTTTGGAGGATATGGACAAAGCGGGTTTAGGGTTTAGCTTCCTTCCCGAAAGGTGCAAGCAATAGTAAAGTATATACGATGCCGATGCGGCCGCCCCCCCCCCCCCAAGCCCTCCCCCCCCAATAATTCCCTCACTGTGGTCTGGTGTGGCTGGGTGGTGTGGTTCGGGGTTGGGCCTTTCCCCGCCCTGTGACGTGCTGTGGGTTTGGGTTTGCCTGTGGTGGGTCACCCCTGACCCTCAAACTACTATAGGGGCCGTAATAATCAGAATAGGGTTTATGGGCTCATTCTACTATAAAAAAACAAGGAGCTCCCCAAAATAGTAAGGTAACTATTTAGGCCCTAAACCCTAAACCCTAAACCCTAAACCCTAAACCCTACATTACCGTTATCCCCCGGGCCTCCATGGCGTCGTAAAGGTGAGTAGGCGCGAAGCATCGGAAGTTCCTCAGTCACTCTCTTGCAGAGGGCTTAGGGGTTTGGGGCTTAGGGTTTAGGGTTTAGGGTTTAGGGTTTAGGGTTTAGGGCTTTGGGGTTTGGGGCTTAGGGTTTAGGGTTAACTACTATCCCTAACCCAAGTATATGATTCTCAGGTCCTTTGGACCCTTGGGGTTATCGGAGCTTTATCAGGGTGTCGTGGGGCTTGTGTCTTTTTTTTGTTGGGGTTTAGGGTTTAGGCGGCTAATAAGAGTTCGAGAACGGAGTGCGTAGATTTCTGAGCGAGGGCTTGAGAAGGGCTTTGTGGGGGCTTTAAAAGGGTGTTTCGGAGGCCCTCTAAGGAGTTCAAATCTCTTGTTAAAGCTTTGAGAAGCATTGCATGAGGGTGTAGGGTTTAGGCCCCGCGCACCCGGATGAGCTCCCTTGGAAGAAATGTTCGTTGACCTATGTAACACAGAGGCCTGAATTACTGGTCTCAGGGTTTTGGACAGAACAAGTCTAAGAAACAATAATTGGTAATTATTTAGGCCCCCTATATTATGAATAGTAGCCAGGAGAGTTTTGGGGACAAAGGGAAAGCAACTAAACCTAAAGTTTAGGGTTTCCGGGTTTGGGTTTAGGGTTTAGATGGGTTTAGGGTTTTGGGTTTACGGGGTACTGCAAAGAAGCCGAGCTTCTTCACAAAGGGCTCCCTCTGGGTCGCCAAGCCCCGTCCTGTTGGAATGTACTGAGCACCGCCATAGTTCAGCGTGGTCTCCTGGGCAGAACAACCTACCGTCGGAAATTTAGGTTAGTTAAGGGACCATAGGAGGGACCCCTAGAAGGGAACCCTAACCTAATACCCTATATAACCCTTGTATACCCCTTATATAGTCTCATAAAGCCCCCATACAACCCCAAGGGTCCCTTTAAGGGTCGCTCTTTTAGTCCCTTGAGTCTAGGGGTTCAGGGTGACCCTAAACCCTAAACCCTGCGTTTAGGGATCAGGGTTTCTGGCATATCGTGGAGGGACTTCGGCTTCAGGGGTTAAGGGTTTTAGGGTTTAGGGTTTAGGGCTTAGGGTTTAGGGTTAAAGCGGCTTAGGGCTTAGGGTTCAGGGTTTGGCAATGCTAGCAGCCTTAGCGCGTTGATTCGGGTGTGCTTTAGCCCTGGGCCCGGTGACTTTTGACGTTGCTCCAGCTCGGACGAGTTCACCGAGGTCTGCAAACTCCATGTGCGGCTTGCGCTCTTCATAGATCTTCAAAGCATCCGCACAAAGCTTTAAAAGGCACCAAGTGAATCCCGAAAGCTGGGATGAGTTGATTTGATTCGGCGAGAACAGGGCCGAACGACTGCCCCATCAGGGCAAGTCGCACTTTGTATTGCCCGGCTGTAGTCCGCGCACCGTGTGTAGGAGCGACGTGCGGACGTGAACCTGACAATGTTGGAACGACGACAAAGTCGATGTTCGTGGGCACTCCTGCTATGCCTATATGCAGTTGAATTGCCGGCCAACTCACATTAGCCAGTTGACGTGCGGATGCCATGTCTGTTGCAACACGCTGCCGCATCAACTCTGCTGGTGTTTAGGGTTTAGGGCTTAGGGTTTAGGACCCCCGAATCCAAAGTATCTGTTTCAGGTCTTTGGGAAATGCTTACACAAGCGAGGTTGATATTTACACATGTAGTGATCCCTAAACCCTAAACTCTAAGCCAACGTTGGCAAAGAAGATGGTTGGTCTCTTTTGGGGTCGGAGGGGACAAGATTGCGCGTGAAAATTTCGGCCGCCTGGATGTTCAATGTCGGGAGCAGGCAGGAAACTTTGGAGTTGGTGTGTTGGGCTTAGGGCTGAGGGTTTAGGGCTCAGGGCTTAGGGTTTAGGGTTAAAGCGGCTTAGGGCCTAGGGTTTAGGGTTTGGGGTTTAGGGTTAAAGCGGCTTAGGGCTTAGGGTTCAGGGTTTGGGTCAAGCATGCGCCACTCGCCTTTCAGCCCGTCCTCACGGAACCCGAAGTGAAGTGTCACGTAATTATGATCAGAATCAATAGCTCTCGCCGTTGCTTTCACAAGGTACTGGAATAACTGTATGCATAAAAAACTAATGAAGCAGTGACAATGAATATAATGTAGGGGCCTAAAACATTACCAATCGTATTCTCGAGGTTCCGTATTATAAATACAGTACAATGGGCTCCCAAACCCTATTCTAAATATTTAAGGCCCCTATTATTAGCCCTTTTGACAACAACATGCTTTGACCTTCGTGTTTCTGAAATCCTCGCAGTCCGGAACCAGCGGAAAGATTGCAGCGCAGCACGAAAGCGCTGAACCGTAAGCCTTATCAACCTATGGGGGTGTAGGGTTTGTTTTTTAAAGTGCTATGGGCCTTTCTCACCGGGGTTTAGGGTTTACGGCTTCGGGCTTTGGGGGTATGGAATCCTACGAAAAGAACGGTAGGAAATCCATTCAACTATCATAGAGCCCTTGTAGGAAGCTCCAACAACAAGGCCAGCATCGTCGGGAGTCTTACGGAGGAACTCAGAGGCCCTTACTTCAATAGCTCTAGGTCCTACAGCAGAGGCCCAAAAGTTGGAAACCGGATTAAGGACAACTAGTGCTGGGATTCCTGGTACATTACCCTAGACCCTAAACCCTAAACCCTAAAGCCTGAACCCTAAACCCTAATCCCTAAACCCTAAACCATTAGTCTAAAGGATTGAGGCTCTCGGGTTGCCAACTTCTGGGCTTCTACTATATGTGTAGCTCTCTGAATGAGGGTCCCTTTTCAGTCCCCAATATAGTACGGCACCCGTATAAAAAGGACCCCAAAAGGGACCCCAATTTAGAGAACTAACCATATGCTTTCTGGGTGCAGTGCTTAGCTTTTGACGCCCCGAAGCCCCGGAGAGCGGTGGCCAGTCGAGATGCGAAGAAGTGCGCCATAAGCTTCGATTGGAAAGCAGAGAAGATCGGGCCTCAGCCATTTGGTTTAGGGTTTAGGGCTTCGGGTTTCAGGGTCTAGGGTTCAGGGTTTAGGGTTTCGGGTTTAGGGTTCAGGGTTTAGGGTCGTTTGCCTACTTGTTGAGTATCCTAGGTTAACCTTTGGGATTATATTGAGATCATATAGGAAGAATCGTACCCCAAAAAGGTTAAAGCACGTCGGGTCAGGGGTTCCCTATTATAATTATAGTATAGGATACGCCAAGCCCTAATCTAAGTATTCAGGCCCCTATAGCCTCAGCTACTCTACTACTAGGCTTGTTTTCAGGGAGCTTAGCCTCGTCGCTTGCTTCGGTTCCTTAAGGGCTCCTGGTTTCCTTCCCGGGCTCCTCAGCAACATCCTACGGCTTCAGGGTTTAGGGGAGGTGTTAGGTTTAGGGTTTAGGGTTTAGGGTTTAGGGTTTAGGGTTTAGGGTTTAGGGGAGGTGTTAGGGTTTAGGGGGGGTCCTCAACAATATCCTGCGGCTTTAGGGTTTATAGCGTTTAGGGGAGGAGTGTGGGTTATGGGGGGTTCCTCTATCTTGCGGCTTTAGGGTTTGGGGTTTTGGGTTCAGGGGGTTTCCCTTCGATGAGAGTTTTGGCTGTAATCGAAGTGTCGTAGTATGTGCTAGGAAGATTTCAGTTAAACAGGCTTCCAGAAAGGTGTTGGGCTCGCTTACAGCGACAGGAAGACCACTAAATCAAATCGACCTACAGACCTCAACACTAAACCCTAAACACTCATAATTAAGGGACAATAAGAGGGACCCCTAGAAGGGACCCCCAATCCTAATACCCCATGTAACCCTTATATACCCCTTACCCAGAGGGTCCAGATACATCACAAT